CTGGCCCCGGCCCGCTGCCCCCGGCCTGTCCCCGTCCCCAGAGGTCCGGGGTCCCGGACTCGAGCCGCGCGGCTGCCACAGGGACATCCTCCCTCTGCGATGATCATCCCTGAAGCGCGGGGCTGGGATATTTCGTGTCATGTCCCCTCCTCTCTTTACCCCGTAAAAAAAAAAGAAACCCTTTTGGTGTAGGTGTGACCTTAAAAGCACACCGTCCTCCCCCTCCAGCGGGTTTGCAGCAAGGTAAGGCGCGACAACGTGCTCGGGCAGCTCCGGGGTTGAAGGGACGAGGGCAGGGGCGACAACGTGCTCGGGCAGCTCCGGGGCTGAAGGGACGAGGGCAGGGGCGCAGGGTCAGTCCGTCCATCGAGGGATGGGAAACCGGGGTTTCCCGGAGGGTTCCCAACGCCACCTGCTGTTCCCTTCTCCCCGAGCCTGACTGGGACTGTCCCTTGCATTTCCAGCACCCAAGGTCTGCGATGCCTGCAAAAACAAAAATGAAGATGATAATGACATCGTGGAAAACCTCTGCAAAAATGATTTTGGTAAGTGGCAGCAGAGCCCTCTCGCTTGAAACTTGAGAGTTGAGGATCAGGTAAAACTCCCAGAGGAATGAGAGAGATGTGCCTGAGTGAAGGCCAGGCTTTGCCATATCTGTAGATGGACCCGTCCGACTGTTTGGTCATGAAACACAAAATTCCATCTCGGAATAAAAAATGGCCCTTTTTATAGTCCTTTTCTGTTTGCTGTTCCGAAGTAGTGCTCCTTTATGTTGATGCTGCTGGCAGGCCAAATAGAAAGTAAAATGAAAAGAAAATAAAATCTTTCATCCAGACTGTTGCCTGGGGAGAAGTAGAGCAAAGCTTCATTTAGACAGATGAGAAAGAGCCACATGACCAATCTCACATATTGTAAGAAAGGCTCTCTCTCTGCAGATTAAGAGTGAAGCTCTATATATCATTTGACAGAGAAGGTGAGGGACAGACAATTGGGGATATAAACTTAATGGGAAGATCTGGGGTTAGAAGAGGACAAGAAAGCCCCTTCGACACAGACAGCTGAACAGCACATTATCCACACATTAGCATTTCAAGAGAAAAAGGGAGTAAGGAGGGAAATCCTTTCATAATAGATCAACCTTTATACTTGGAAACAGATTTTAGTATAAACATCTACAACAATTCAAAAGTCTTTTTAAAAAAACAAAAACAAAAACAAAAAACCCACTACCCAAAACATGAAACCATGACTGTGGGACATAATTGCTAAAACAACCAATAGCTTTGGCCTGGCAAATTGCACTTAGATAAATCCTCCTAAAGCTAAACATGCCCCACAGATTCTTACAGAGCCCTGTATCCCCCTCCTAGTTATTTTACCAAATCGAATGCAGCTGTTGGACCAATTTGCCCTCCATGGGATCTAGTCTTTAAAAAAAACAATGCATGTGAAATACCATTTCCTTAAAGGATTGCCTAAAATCTCCTCCAGCCTAATCAATTAAGTTTAGAAGTTTTCAGCCAGAGCAGAGATCAGGTTTCAGATTAGGTCTAGGTACTCATCTTCCCACCTCCCCTTCATACTCTAGTTTCAGGAAAACTGTCCTCTTCCAGCAAAAACCAAAGCTTTGTTTAACGTAGCAAACCTGTGCTCTCTCTGTTTGCAAACAGGAGAAAAGCTGGAGAAAATACTAATTTAGAAAGGAAGGAAAAAGAGGGGGAGGGGGGAGAGGAGAAAAGAAACCCAAAAAACCTCAACCCTAAGGTTGATTCAAACTGAAATGACTTGCATGCCCTTTGTGGCTTTAGAAATGGAGCCACCTGCTGCCTCTTCTGTCAGCCCTGACAGTTTAATTAGCAATAGAGCACCTCCCTCCCCAGGTCCTCTTTATGTGCACTAATGGGAAAAACCTCTTCTCTCCCTCTCCCCACTTCCCCCTCCCCTCACTCTATTAGCCTTGAAGATAAAAGTGAAGGAGATTGCCTACATCAATGGGGATACCAAAATCACCCCTGAAACAAAGAGCAAAACCATCTACAAGCTGAATGGGCTGACAGAAAGGGATCTGAGGAAGATCGTGCTCTGGCTCAAAGGTGGCCTCCAGTGTACCTGCGATGAGATGAATGACATCAACGTTCCCTACTTGGTGATGGGGCAGAAGCAAGCTGGGGAACTGGTGATCACCTCGCTGAAGCGGTGGCAGAAAGGGCAGCGGGCTTTCAAGCGGTTCTCCCGCAGCATCCGCAAACTGCAGTGTTAGTGGCTTCGGCTCTGGCTGCCTCCAACAGCCACCTCTGTCCCGAGCTCTGCGGGCCTCCTGCACCTTCTTGCTTTGGCCCCTCTGAGCATCGAGATGCCATGGGCATGAGGCACGGTGTCTGCTCTCCAAGAGGGGAGGGAGCCCTCCGTTTCTGTACATAGGTTAAAGTGTAATAAAAAAAAAAAATCATGATTATTTTTTGGAAGTATTAAAGTATCCTGCTTAAAGCTTTTTTTTTTTTTTTTTTTTTTATGGTTGCAAATGTGACTTTGGTCTGAGGTTTTTCCCTCTTCATTTTGGTAATGCTGGTTCATTTATATTGCTGCTTCTCTGTATACATGCATGTTTGTTGTGCAAAAGTAGGAGATGCAGAGAAAGACAGCCACGCGTGCGACTGGCCTGTCACAGTGGGTATGACTCTTTCACCGAGGTGAAATGGCTTGCCATCTATATTAACACTATAAAAATCATGTTACGACTCTTGTATGTGATACATAGGCACCAGTAAGAGTATATTAACCATTCTCACATTTTATTTTCCACAAGTCTGAGCCCTTCTCTCTCAGAAAAAAAGAACAAGTTGATCTGAATGCAACTTTTTTTTTTAATTATGTTGAAAATTAAACCATCTCTAGCCTAACTGTAATATACCTAGTGATTAACCTGAAAGAGTTGTAAAATATTGCTTTAATTAACCTTGTAAATACTCCAGATAAATGTTATATTCTTGTATATAAACTTTACATCATAGTTTACCCATTGTCTTGGTCTGTATTCACTTTAATCTGTTTTGTGAGAACTGTGAGAAAGCTGTCCAACTGGGCTTTGTCATGGCAAGGCAAAATTTGGCCTTCCACACCAAGTGGCCAGTAGAGAAGCATGAGGAAGCATCTAGTGCTGCAATCAGAAAAAACATAGTGGACCTAATTTCCCCAAAGATGAACCCCCAAGACAAGGGACTGAGGTTCAGTCAACTCATTTTAATATGTGTCTGTTGAGCTCTTCAAGGTGAAGAGTTTTCTGTGGCTTCTTTGTTCAACTGCCTGCATTTTCATCTCATCTTCCCGGAAGACTGCTTTTTGCTGATGTGGAATTGCAATGAGACCATTTGTTTAAAAATCAAATCTATTTGCCCATTTCTTACACTTGAAAAAGACATATTGAAGAGTGTAAGAGTAGACAGAAAAATCTCATTTGCAACTAGCAATTCAGAATAACGGTAGAGCAAGGCATGTTTTGTGTCTATGTACACTCACTATTCTCAACTGAGAAAGAAAATAAAACCTACCTAATAGTGTAACTAGAGGAATGTTTCCCAGCATTTTTCTTACAAATATTTTCTGGTGAAGAGCATTACCTGCTATAATTTTATTGTACTTATCCTGAAAAATAGTCTTGCTTCCCAGTGCTGTCTCACATAAAAAAAATTCCTCTTAGTTTCACTGAGAGGATGAGCAGTCCAATATTCCCAAGGATGTTCTATGCTTACCATTCACAGACAGAATGCAAATCCAGCACTAGATTATTTTTTTTAAGTTAAAAACATCATAGTAATGTCTATATTTAGTGTGATTTTTTTCACCATCCAGATAAGAAGATAAAATCTAAAGATCCAAATGTTAAATTTTTCTTAGAAAATAGAATTGTTTGCCCTCTCCCGAAGACTTAATGCACTCACTACATCCGGTACAAAAAATAGTAGGACTCTGAACAAGAAAAAAAAGATCAGCCCTCACAAATATCCTCAAAAGTATAATAATAATAATTTAAAAAAACAACCAAACAAAAGGCCCCATTCCAAACTGGCTCTCTAACATCATTAAAACCTTTCTGAAAAATGAACCTGGCTTCCCAGGAAAGAGATTTGAGTCTTTTCGTGCTATGGCATTAATTATTTTAATACCAGCACTATGTTCATCATCTTACAGAGCCATCAGCGTCCAGATGTCACATTGCTCTACCCATCTCACTCAGCATATAATCTAATACCTGTCCTTGAGCAGCCATGGTTTTCGAGGGAACATGCTCACAGATAAAAAGCTGCCTGAAGATGAGCCTGCAGAAAACGGGCTTGTGCTGCCTGGTGGTGAAAGCACTTCGAAGAGGCAGTCGTTGCAATGCAATCTCTGGGGTTTGAAAACGAACAGCCAGGACTGCTCCACTTAGCCTACCTTACAGATACTAAGTCCTCCTACAGCAACCATAAAATTATCTTAATTGGGCTGTCCTAGAAAGCAGCAATACTGACGCTGATGAGGACAGACAGGTCACAAGTTACTCACTCTGGGGTCATCTTAAGGCCAAGACTATGTAACAGATTTTTTGCCAAATCACTTAGACGTGACTTGTGTGTGAAGACACACACATATGGCCAACACTGCTCTGCTTTAAAGAAAAAAAACAAAAAACAAAAAACAAACAACATTCCACTTCCTCCATCACAAAATAAATGCTGTTACACCAGCAAAATCCTGTTCCTGTCACAACAGATGCAGGAGAAAAAAAATAAACTAGATTGGCAAACATTCAATTTTACCAGTATAATCAGCATCCTGGATTAAGAACATCCCACCATCCAGCGTACCCCTACTGACCAAGCCTTCTGCATGTGGCCCTCGGCTGAATCCCTGGGACTATCCACCCCCAGGGTGAATGGGCAGAGGCAGGATTACCTTTCAGATGAACAGGATTTAGGCAAATGTGAAGAGCAATGGGACTCATGTTTTCCCAGTTTAGTTCCATTAGCTTGTTCTAACAGCATTGTAATAAAAGATGGGTCATATTTACCTCACCAAGGAAAGGGAGTCTCAGTGTTTGTTACACTATCTGTTTCCAAAGGTGTATAAACCACACATTGCAACCTATACAACTGAAAATTAAGATTTTAAAGTCATAGCCTGAGGAAATGTCCTCTCCCAGATACTTTCAAAGAAGTAAACACATACATTTTTCACATTTACTGTTACTTGCTCAACAATAACTGAAAATCTGTGACTGTGCCAGGCAAATAGTGAATGAAATATGTAACAAAAAATTATCTGAGCCTGTTACTTCGGTGTGTCACCTATAGTTCAGAGCAACTTTATTACCTGGTATGATATGGTTCAGTTCTAGCAGAAGTTTTTTTTCCACAGTTGATGAAAAAAGGCAACCCACTGTTGCATTTTTCAGACACTTTTTGTCTTCTAATTAAAACAACATTGTTAGGCAGCCAATTATGTAGCTCCCATTGTATTTGCTTTCATAAAAACTATAAAAGCAGTTGACTACAATGGATTAGTTTAAGAACAATAATAATGATACTTGACATTTATACAGAAGTTTCCATTTAAGTTTCTCAGACTGCCTTCACAAAAATAGGCATTAATATCCCTATTTTGCAGATCAGGAAAATGAGGCACAGTGAAGTGAAATAATGTATTCAAAACCACCCAGCAAGTCTTTTACAGTCATGAAAAGCAGCATATTTTTTGTCTCCAAGTTTTATGCTCTAATCACTAGACCACAGCAATCAGAATGGTGTATAATCAAGGCAGCACTTAGATTATAATTTAAGAGCATAATAGCAACCAAGGCTCCCTCCAACTTCTTCCCCCTCAGTGTGTAAAAAAAAATGACTGCCCAAATTCAAATCTAAAACCCATCAGCAATATTCCTTGCAGTCTTTTCCTTTCTTCATTATTTATCATTCCCTCTATCCTTTAATTACTGCTTAATCCTTTCCTTTCTCCTCACTTCTCATTCCTTTCAGACACCCACAGAGAAGCCACTCGGCCCCTCTCTTGCTCCTCTCATACAGACACTTGCACCCTCGGTATGGTTTATTAAAGAACTCGTGCAGTATAACTACACACAAACTACAAAAATCCTAATGACCAGCTTAAGACCTAAAAAGACCCATGCAGGAAATTCAATAAGAGGCATTTAAATTTAATTAATGATTTTCTACAAGGACAGGAGGGCAGTTAGATGCCACAAGGAGCACCACAGACACATGCTGGTCGCCTCAGGCATGGCCACTATTCCTATTCTGCAGCAAGATAAATAAAGACATTTAAAGAATATAGTGAGCATGAAGAACACACAGATAAAGCACACCTGCCTTTGCATGGCCAGGTCTGTCACGTGTCTCAGCCCTGTTGTTATTACCCTGTGTTCCCCCATGGGGGCCATGGTGCACCTCTCTCAACCTTCTTCCAGATGTCTCACTACCTCTCTTCAGCCACCGAGGGCATCAGCCAAGAGCAGAGCCACTGTGACTCAAGAATGAGCCACCTCATTGTCTCCTGGGTGCCTGCTGGGGCATGAGCAATCCCCATGCAGCTGGCAGGGCAGCCCCTTTTTTGCTGCTTCTGCAGCCTGCTGCTATCCTCGCCAAACCTACCAGCCCTGTGAGCCCTTGTGATGTGCCCGCAGTTGGCAATGCTAGAGGAAGGGCGATGGGTTGATTGCTACCAGAGCAGTAGGCAGCCTTCCTTAGGTCCAGCAGCCCAGGCTTTTGCTATTGGAGCCAGAAGTTCTTATTTCTAGGCTTCAGAGACATGCCTGTATGATTTATTTGGAAGTTGCTTTCTTATCAGCAGATGTAGATTCAGCACAGCCTCACTGTCTGATGAAACAACCACAGGAATGGATCTTGTTTGCCTCTGTACAGAGAAGACAGTGCAAGATATTCACATCACAGGAATCCAATACCCAGACCTGTCTTACAAACATAAATTAGCCTATGCTATACCCCTTCGGGGTGAGTTTAATAGGGTAACATTTTCCAAATGCATCAACCCCTTTCAGGGTGAGCTGTGGGCTCCTAAATCACCTAGATGCCTTGGAAAATATTAACCACTATCCCCCACCAGAGTGAAAGCCAGTTGGCCGAGGTCAGCCAGCAAGCCTGTCACCCAGCCAGGAGGAACACCTCAGCAATCAGCCAGCCAGCCCATCGCTCTCATGACTGATCAAAATAACACAGAAAGCTGCACTGCAAAGCAGCTGATGGAGCAAACTTCAAAACCAATTACTGCACACGCAGAGAAGCTGTCCCGCCAGAAAGACTAGCACAAGTTAGGAGGTATGCCCAATGCCTTACAGAACAGACCCAAGAAAGAGCATATATACCTTCCACAATAAGGTAACACTATCACTGCAGCTCTTTCAAAACCCAAATGATGCAGATCATCCTTTTGGAGTAATTTCCAATCCACAAAGGTGATGCTAAATCATGGAGAATTTGCTGTTTGGACATAACAGGTTGCCATTAGAGTTACAGCCAAAACTAGAAGCAACTTGCAGATTTAGGATTGGTTTGAAAGGGTAGCAGATATGCTAGTTTAAGTACACTTTCAACTTTCCAGGTCTTTGTTTTCAGAGCTTAACCCCAGCAACCTTCATTAGACATTAAACTTTCAGTACGGAGCCACTGGGGAAGGACAATTTAGAGTTTTCCATTGATACCTGCTTCTATCAGGCAAGAGATAACTAATCCTTCCCTGGCAATTTCCCTGCGTTGTGGTTTGCTTCAAATCCCTAACATTGTCTAATTGCCTTTTTTTGTTACGTGAATCTCCAGCCATGCACAACAGTGAACGCAGGCTGCTCACACACTGAGACAGGTGCTTTAGTGGCTGCAGGGCTCACATCATTAAGCACACACAGAGCTATTAATCATTTCAGCTTACTCTGAGGCACAAACCTGAATTAGTTAGACCACTTTCCTAAGCAAAACAATAGCTTAATTGTAACAGGTAAGGCAAAAGAG